GAAATAATTTAATGAATATGTTAATAAATTCGAAAATGATTTCAAAAATTTCAAGAAATTTAATGAAATTGAGATATTTGAGAATAATTTAGAAACTCTCCAATAGGACTATAAGAAACTATAATTAGAAAGTAATATTATATTATTATATATTAGAAAATTAACTTGTGGATTCTTTAGAAAATGACTATAAGATTGGGATATAAAATAACAATAAAATAATTGATGAGCTTAAATTAGTTGTAAAAGATATAGAATCTAAACTTAAAGAAAAACAAGAAAATGAGTAATAATTAAATATAAAATTAAAAGAAGAAAAAAATAGTAATGACCTATATTAGATAAAAATAGATGAATTATATATTCAAAATCAGTATCAGATCTAAGAACTAAATCAAAAATTAGGAGAATAAGAAAAAATTATGAAAAATTATTAGATAGAATTAGAGAAATTCAAATCAATTTATCCTATAATAAATTTAAAACCTAAATTAGCAAGTGATGATTTTTGGCTGACTCTATTTTTCTAAATACAATCTAAATGTATAAAAACAATAAAATGCACAAACTTAATTTATTTAGGAACAAGGGATGGGTTGAATTCAAATTCTTTTTGGGATAAAGTAAATGGAAAGATAAATTTACTAATGTTATTTAAATCAAAAAGTGAATTTATTTTTGGTGGTTACACTCCATGTAAATAAATAAAAAATGATGGTGGATAATGGATAACAGATGATACATTAACTTCATTCATCTTTTCTTAAACAAAAAACTAAATTTACCATCTTAAACCAGATAGGAAATAATATGCTATGTGGCACTAAACAACCTATGGACCTGTATTTGGTACCTAAAATGGAAATGATATTTAGATTACAAAAGATTTTTAGGCTGGGTCTTCCTCATTAGGATTGAATTATGATTGTTCTCAGTTCAAAATAGAAAACACGAAAACTCATCTATTTGGTTAATCAACACCAAATATTGTAGAGTGTGAAATTTATGAAATATAATTTTTTTGAATTAAAAAAATTAAAAAAATTATCTAATTGTTATAGATATTGAATTCGTTGTATAAATTATTATCTATACTTTTAGAAGTTTTATATTTCAATTTCTAATCAGGTAAGATTACTTTGATATTTAAAATGAGAACAATTTTTATTTATTCTAACTCTACAACTTAAAACTATTTGATTTTTCTTTAGTCAATTTGTAAGAATAAAGGAAATAATTAATAGGAAATTGCTTAATTGGATTAAATTCTAGAGAAACTGTTAAAAGCTAAAATTCTGATAATAACTGATTCTCAAGATAATGAAATAATTTATTTATAAGATGGAGTCATTTTTGAGAAAGTAAATGTTCATTAATAGCTATTTAAGTGAATAACATCAAGGCACTACTAACGATTTTGAACTATATGTAAATAGGGAATAAATCCCTAATCTATATTGGTAAAGAAAATAAGAGCAAAATTAGTTGAAAATTGTAAGTGGACAACTGCTTGGAATGGATAATATCTTAATCTAGTTGGTGGGTGATTATGATGACTATTTCCTCTGTTATTTACGACTGCAATATTTTATATAGAATGTAACTAGTAGAGAGCAGATGTTATATTAAAAGAATTAAAATAAAATAATTCTGTAAATTGGATATGACTGCCTTAGAAATGTAAAATATTCTAGCACCTGTATTTTTTACTAATCTTTCAAATACTTAATTAAAGTAATCCATATTCTGAAAAAATATGTTTAAGATTTTAATTTCTCTTTGTAATAATCCAATTTCTAACTTTTTTTCTATTACATATTCCCATTAAATTGTAATACAACTAAGGTTTAGAATTATTATAAATTTATCATTTAAAAAAGAACCTGATCAATCAAATCTACTTATATACTATCCTTTATTCCATTAGAATCATAGTTTCCTCTACCACTAAAGGCTCATTTACACACTTAATTTTTACCTCTTTTCGAATTGAAGATTTAGTCTCAAAAATACATACCACTTTTCTATCCATTCCTATAATTACTACCAAGAGTAATTTGACTCATCAAAAAAAATTGTGTCCGCTCCTAAAATTTTATTGATTTATTTTTTTTAATGCATAAACTAGTTTTGCTCAAATATAAATAGGATGTATGATTCTAAAAGTTATTTATCCAAAATTCTTACTTTATATCACTAATATATCCACAATTTTAAGTTATATAAATATAGTTGTGAAAGATCTTAAACTTGAAGGAGATCCTAGCAAAAGCCAAAATTCTAAAAGATCTTCAAATATGGCGAGAAGAGGTAAAAGGTTTATTAGTTGATTTTGCCATCATAATAAATCTCATTAAAAATATTAATTAAGAAGTTGCATTCATTTCAGCTTATCTCATCCTCTGCAGCAAAAGAAATCAGCTTCTCTAATAATTCTTCAATTACACAATAAAATTCTATTCTAATAGACAAAAGAATTTTCTACAAAATAATTCAAAATCAAATTGATCAAAGAGTTAAATCTAATTTTGAATTATCCTTAAGTCTTTCTAGCAGTATATAATTTAATATTCAGCCTAAAATGAAAAGACTATATTATCTGATGGAGAGAAATTGAGGAATGAAAAAAATTAAGAAATTAGTTGGATGTTTTAGAGATGATTCTTTCATCCAAAATAAAATGAAAAAAATCCTAAATTAACAAATGAAAACCAGACTGAATAATCAAAAAGATATTTTTTTATCTAAATTCAGAAATCTAATTATGCTAGAGTTATTGTATTCTTTTCTGTTGTTAATTTGAGTACATCTTAAAAATGCTGTTCAATCAATTAAATTATGAAGAATTTGATAAAATGATGAAAAATTTGTTTTAAACTTTAGATGTAAAACCAAAGCTATTATTTTGAAATCTGAGGATAAAATTCATCTTTATAATCTAGCTTTAGTTCATAATAATCTAACTGCAATATTATGAATAATATAACTTTGGGTAAGAAAGTTAAGAGATAAATGGAAAAAACATAAATGCTGTTAAAATAAATAAATGATTGGTCTTATTTCGATACTTGAAATTCATTCAGCATTTATCAAAGCATAGTTAACCTTAGAGAATATGGAATTAAAAGAAAAATTAAAAGTCAAGGATTGAAAAATATATTAATGTATAATTTTCACTAATACTAAAAGTTCAAATTAAAAATACTATGAAAAATCTATTTTCAAATTTTATAAAAAATATAAGAGAAACATTTAAGAACCTAAGTAAACCACAATTTCTCCAAAAAACTTAAGAAAAATGTTAGTGCTTGTCCAGTCAATTTAAAGTCTAATTAATTTTAGAAATCTTAGCAATAAATAGTATTATTTTTCTATTAATTCTCAGTCTTAAAAAAAAGAGAAAATCAAGAAAAGTAACATTTTATTATTTTTTACAGTCCTTGAGAATGTATAACATACTCTTTCCTCCCATATATCTCTCTTTTCTTACAAATCTAACATTCAATCATTCTTTTGATAAGGATTCCTCTCCTTGTTTGGGTAACTTTCTTCAAAAACCAGATATATTT